TCTGCGTGGTATTCCGCTCCCAGTGGAGTCCCCCAAGGCTCGGTTCTTGGTCCATTGCTCTTTGTGGTTTATGTGAACGACCCGCCTGGTCAACTCTGCAGCCCGTCCCTCATGTATGCGGATAACATCAAAATCTGACGTATAATCAAGGATCCTAATGATCGGAATTCTCTTCAAGCAGATTTGAACAACCTGGTTCATTGGGCGGACACCTGGGCTCTTCCAGTCAACACAGCAAAGTGTGCTCCATTGCATTTGGGGCGTGCTTACTCAGAGGTAGTCTACAACTTCCAGGGAACCACATTGCGCAGAACATCATACCAACGAGATCTGGGTGTTATGGTTACGTCATCACTAAAGACCCGAGAAAACACCGATAGGGTCTATGCTAGCGCATGGAGCAATATAAGGCCTATTCGGCGGTCTTTCAACCAACTCACGATGGACGCTTTCAGGCTGCCGTACACTTCCCATGTCAGGCCAAGACTTGAGTACGGTGGTGCGGCGACATACCCCTGCACGGCCGGTGAACTGGCTAAGTTGGAGTGTGTACAACGTGCTGCCACGAGACTCGTTGTTGGACTACGCGGGACCAGCTATGAAGATCATCTACAAGCTACTGGTCTGTTCCCAATTGTGTATCGACGCCTAAGGGGAGATCTCATCTGCCTGAGAAAGATCCTGAGAGGTGATATGGTCCCGGAGCTGCAACAGTACTTCCCCTTACGGACAGAGCACCGCACGCGGGGGCACTCTCTCACGTTGCGGAAACTTCAGTCAGTTGGTCTTCCGTTAGTCTACCGACTCTCGCGTAGGTCAACAACACTCTGGAATTCTCTTCCAGCGATTGTGGTGGAAGAGAAGACAGACGCTGCTTCTAAACGGCGTCTGGATGAGCACCTGAAGGGGCTATGGAGGAACGAACACTTGTGATCGAACCTTCGACCCAGTGGTGATGGGGCTTACACGGGCACCCTGCCCTCTGCCCTCAATCCTGAACACTGAAGTGATGCGTCATCCTCCCCAACCCTACCTGCTTTGTCCATTGTTCTACAAACTAACTATGGGTTAGCTATGTTCCAGACTTATCAGTGAGGAATAAGATGATCATGCTGGAGGAGACAATAATGAAATAAACATAAAGGCAACTACTTTTGCATTTTTCTTCGATTTTCCTCTTGGAAATTATTTCGTTCCACATCAAAGGTACAAAACCATTTTCTCTGAGTGTCCATTACAACTTCAATGATTCGCAAGTGCTGTGCCACAGAAAAGCGAGCCATCAGTTCATCGAGCTGTAGGTAAATATCCCTTCCACGTTAGATTGCCCCCACCAACTACCTGTTCAACCGTACACTTTAGTGCGCTCTTTCCCTCATTAGCCTTAAACTATCGTCCCGGGAGGGTTTAGAATTAGCGTAAACGCACGAAAACTGCAGAGCAGAATGTTGCTCTAGGCTGTCATTAAGTTTAACCATTTTATCATTTTTCATTTCCCTTATTGTTATTCAGTTAGGCAATGTATATTTCGGTCGAACACTAATCAAATCACTTCGACTCATGGGGAATGAATAGGCAGTGGCTACATAAGCACTGTCCTGTAGTAACAGGCTTGATGAGGCACTGATTACATATAAACGGTTAAAGAAATTCAGCAAACTTTGCGCTCACTGTCAAGATCCGCGTTGGTAAGAAACCATGCAACGCGCAGTAGACAAGTATGCTACGGTGTGTGCTGAAATGTGTATACTTGGAGCGAGTGGTATACATAAATGTACACTTAATATTTACATACACATGTATAAATAAATTTGCTAAAGTGAGAATAAAGATAATGAAAGGGGGTCTAGCAGAAAGTTTCTGGCAACCACTAAACTGCTGTGAAATTAAAAACTGCATAGCAATTTCGTGAGATATGCCATCGTGTCGAAATGAGCGGTTGGCGAATCCACGTATGAGTTTAAAGTCTGATAAGAAAACTGGAAAAGTCAACAGGGAATGCGTAAATTCAATGGGGAAAGTAACAAGAGAAGATTAAACGTTTTATCAAGTGGATTGCGCTAAATAACACTTCGAAACGGATAACGTGAAAATGAGTCTGTGAAATCTCTCGGCGATATAAGGAAAGGTATGAAGATAACGGAAAATGGAGGGTCTCAGGCACTAAACGAACCACTTTCGGCAGAACTTGTTCTCCGTCGATTGCGATATGTTGACCAGAGTTTACTACACTTATGTATTTGAGGTCCCTCGTGAGAGAAAATGCGGTAACTGCACATCTGAGGAGATCCATACCAGGAATGTGAATACCTGCGGCGATCACAATATTTAGCTGAACGATGATGATGCTTTGCATGGATAGAGGATAGAGAATGAGGGGAAAGCAGCCGTCCCTGTACAGGAGGCTCTGATCAGTGATTTGCAAAAGAGTTACCCATGCCTAGTTGTATCTGGGGTTCCTCTAAAAAAGAACGAAGTACTCTAATATTTCCAGATAACTGTTACCTGAATCATATCGAAAAACCTACAACGGATATGCCATCTTGTTCGCCTCTATCCAGAAATAACATTTGTATATCGCAAGCGTACGGTATGTGTGCGAAGACTGTTTAAACTTCGGAAGTTGAGCAAAAATGTGCGGTGAAAACGAAGCTCTGTGTAAAAAAAGGACATGACGCAAAATGGTTCCAAACAGCACATCGTTCGAGAACCGAACCACTTACACCGGTTGAAGGGGTATCATTAGCAGGAGCCGCAGGCAACATGGGATTCGTCGGTGTCGTGCTCAGTGCGGTTGGATGTTGTGTAGCAGAAACATAGAACGGGGTTGCAGCAGCTGTGGACTGTTTATGCTGTTGTTGTTGCTGCTGCTGCAGGGCGACCGACAGTTGGGATTGAATGTACTCCTGGACAACTTGAGGTAGACTTACACGCAACTGACTTCGCGACAGCTGGAAAACGAGCAAGGGGGATGCAAAGAAACAGAATCAGAAAAGAGTGACACAATCGAAATCCGCTCACCGGGAACGTCCATGATAATCAGTCAAGGAATGACTGTCAGAAACACGAATAGTCAGTTCATTTAGAATTGGTCTACAATTGTATAGTGAAATATACAGAATATTGACTCTGTGGGTTAACAAACCCCAACACATTGCGATATTCAATCACTGCTACGATGGTTGGTGGGTCGGGCTTCGGCTAACTAAAGTCTCTGATAGTTGACCCTAAAGTAAAATTCACCTACTGTGACCTGGGCAACCTGCAAGTATTCCTCCCACAAGGAAATCACAGACTCATTTCTTTCCTATGAAGATTATTGTATCCTGATTTTTCGGCACTGACTGGATTCAGACAAGTGACACCTAATAGAAACAATTGACAATAACATTATTAATAATAATAATAGTCAGTAGCTTGCAAATAAAAGCAGAAAAGTTAGGTCGGATTCCTAATCGTAAGGTAGTGTAGGCATTAATTGAAGAAACAGAAATTACATGGTTAAGAAAACAAAATCTGGAATTTCAGTGTTGTATTCAAGCATATACCCAGCTCTGACGAACAAAAAACAGATGTACACTCTTCCACCTCTCTCGCTCTGTGTTATTTTCATTACAAACACCATTCTGTGTTTAATAGGTCGCATTGTAACCAAGAAAAATTTCACTCACAATAACCAGCAACCTTAGCAAAAAGACTGCGAGTGCTGAACTACTTAGGGTCACAGCATGACGTGCACAGTAGTCGTGCAGTATAGCGGAAGTCATTTGTGTTTGAGGTCATGGCTACTCGGTACAGAGAATATGCAGTACGACGCTTCATTACCAACGGCAGTTGATGGTCAGCAGGCAGACAACACTATCGCACAGATGAGCCAAGCAAGTATGGGTATTCGATTACCTATGGAATCTGAAGAAATAAGTTACCGTAATTCCTCAGCATAGAAAGTAACTGAAAATGACTAGATCAAGTCACAATCTACCCAATGCAAAGAATGTGAACAGGACACTGCATGGCTCATAACCGCAGATTCGACTGTAACCTTATGGATCGATTTATATCTGTGTGCGACGCAGACAAGACGGCGGTCGACAACAGACAAAGTCAACATATAACAATTTCATGCAAAATGCCTACCCTTATGGGTTCATCGACAAATGCATCATGTTGCAATATGATTCCATCATCCTCTTTTATTGTACAAACTAACGACTGACAGAAAAACTTCTGTATCGTGGAAATAATGTGGAATATGCTGATGAGAAAAACATTCAAACCACGACCGAACTCTAAAAAT